TGAGGGGGACTTTATTGGGGGAGGGGGAGGGAAATGGGAGGTGGCAGTGGGGAAGAGACAGAAATCTTAAATAAATAAATTAATTAATTAAAAAAAAGAAAAACAACATTAAAAAATTTTTTTAAAAAAAAAGAATCTCCCTGGTAAGCCACCAGCTTGTGGTGCTACACAGATTATTAGAAATGGGCTAATCAAGATGTGAGAATTAGCCAATAAGAGGCTGGAACTAATGGGCCAGACAGTGTTTAAAAGAATACAGTTTCCGTGTAATTATTTTGGGTAAAGCTAGCCATGCAGGAGCCGGGTGGCGGGAAGTGGCCCACCGCTCATTATTACTACTACTTGTAATGCTTTTTTGTAATGCTTTTTATCATCAACTAATTACATGCTTTTCTTGGCTATTGCTAGAAAAGTAATAAATATCTTAATAAGAGTAATCATTAAAATACTAATTTTAGGATCAGATATTTTTATAAAGAAATATATCAAATGTGTTTAATAAAATTTTAATCACAAAGCAAAATTTTACTGGGCCCAATTATTCAAAATAGACAACAATCTCATAAATATAATTACAGAGTAATCCCGTGAACTAATAGAGCTGGCTAAAGTTCAGACAAAGTAATAAAATATTATGCAACAAATACAAAATTCTGGGTAGCCAAGTGAAAGCAAGGTCATGCTGGTTCAGAAACTCATCTGTCCATAAAATTTCAAAATTACAGGCAAAATATAGCAAAAATGCTTCAGAAAACAAGTTCACATTCTTTCAATATTTAGTCAAAATATACTGGCTTCTTCTAATAAGCAAATTAGGAAGTATCTGTAGCCTTCATAAAATAAGAGCAGTGGCACCTTCACATTGACTTCAGTGCCAACGAGCACACAAGATAAGTCATGGCAATCTATTAATACTGGTATGCACCAAAGCTTCTGTGTACACAAGAAATAATTACACAGATAAATGTTTTTGTACTTTGCTTTTAATTATATTTTACATGTCATCTTACTCGGCTAAACACATGTTTAATTAACCTTTACTATATTTTATTTAAAGTGGTTTGGACATTTAATATTCTCTCTCTTGGAGATAGAGCTATGGGAAGAAACTAGATAGATAAGTTATCATACGTCACAAAACTGTAAATTAAGAATTTTTTTAAAAAAATCACGCTTATGAGTGTTTTACTTGCACTTAAGCTGTGTACAACATGTGTACCCACGGAGGCCAGAAAAGGGTATTGGACCACTTGGGACTGAGGTCACAGGTGGTTTTGTGAGCCACTGTGTGGGCTCTGGGAATCAAACTTGGATCCTCTGGGAGAGCAGCCAATGCTTTCGGCTGCTGAGCCATCTCTCCAAACCCAAAACTATTTTGTAAATCATGTGATTTAGGCACAAGTTCAGAGAAATTTCTCGGAAGATGAGGTAAGCTACCCAATTCTAGAATTACCATTGTGCAATGTGTTTTATTTTCATGTAGACAATCATAAACATTATAATCCATCATTTATTCAAAATTAAGTATTCAGTAGTAAATTAAAGGTAGGTGCTATTTTCCACACTAATATAGTTCCTCAAGATTTAAAAACATCTACTGAACCAGTTTTAAGGCTGTCTGCCGCCTCAGAGCAATAGGAGAGGTAGAGCTCTGAGAAGCCCTAATCTCCCATGAAAATAGAAAAAAAATAGGAAAAGGTAAATTAAAATAGGCAACTGTATTAAGTAAGTGCAGCAGTAATAAGAATTAAAGTATGTGCCCTGCTCCTTGGTGACCTGGGTAGGGCATTTGCTGCTGTGCAGTGGGGACAGACTGGACTACAGCAGACTGAGTAATTTATTAAAGAAAGCAATGCATCCTATTAGTTAATGTAAGTCATTAATAAAATTCAGTATAGCACAGACTTTTAAGATGCAGCTTTGAAAGGAAAGAGGAACAGGGAAGCAGCTAGAAAAGACACAGAACCTATAACTTATTTATAGAACAAAGAGGATGTGAACTGGGAGCTCTAGGCTCAAGCCTGCAGGGCTATGTCGAGGGATGACTGCTCTGAGACACAACTCCTTCGACAATGGTGTTTGCTTATCTCACTTGGACAACATTCTCTACGAAAGATTTGATGGCCAAAATGATAGCCATACTAATTCTCCATGAATATGTCTACCCATAGATGTCTCAAAGATTAAGTTGGGGTTCAGAATGATGGCTCAGCACCTAGGAGCACTGACTACTCTTCCAGAGCACTCTGGTTCAATCACCAGCGCTTTCTTTTGCTGTTGGAGGGCACTACATGCACGTGGGACACAGACATATGTTCAGGCAAAACACCAATTCACACACAATTTTTTTAAAGTAATAAAAAGTTTTAAACTAAATTAGGATCCAGTAATTTAGCATATATTTCCTGATCATCTTTTATGTGCTAGGTAGGATTTTTTCTTTAGCCACAGCACTCAGAGCAGATGGTCCTAAGGAAATATTTGTTGATCAGATAACTAGTGAGAAAGTTCTAATGTCAGTGCAGGTTCAGGCAGGCTTTCTGGAGAAAGGGACAGAACAGACTTGGAGTACCTCAGTAATACGGGGAGATCATGTTTATTTGGCATATGGGACATATGCAAAGATAGGAGAGAAACAAGGTGTGTTAAGGAATCTTAAAGAAAAGTTTTAAAATGTTTTAAGCAAAGGGGCAGTGGTGGCACACACCTTTAATCCCAAAACTAGGGAGGCAGAGGCAGGCGAATTTCTGAGTTGTGTCCAATCTTGTCTACAGACTGAGTTCTAGGGCAGCCAGTGCTACAGACACCCTGTCTGAAAAATCAAAGTCTGTGTGGGGGTGATTGGTGGGCAGATGTTAATATTAGAGAAAGGGTGTTTGAAAGCATTCATAGGGAACAAGGGTGCATGCTGGAAGTCAGACTGAATCCAGGCACAGGAAGATAATACTGTAAAATGGAATGGCAGAAATATGTACAGAGAGAAATACATGAATTTCAAACAAATGGAGGAATTGAGTCCAGAGGGAATTAGAGATGAATAAGGTATGAGATTCATGTAGACAGAAAAGAATGGGATGAGCCTTGCATCGGGGCACTCTGATGTACAGTGGTACAAAATAAACAAAGACTTCATGATTGCTCAGAAGATATTCATGTGCATCAGTCCACTGGGCACCCATCTGAACCTCAAGAAAGAGACCTGACAAGACTATCACTCTGAGGTAACTGTAACTGGAGCCACAAGAATTAAGGAGGGTTACTAAATGTATAAATGAGAAGAGACAGAACACCAAAAACTTAAAACCCACATGGAGAGAGGAGTTCAGAGACGGAGAACCCTCCCTAGCAAGTATGAAATACTGGATTTGGTACCCAGCACCTGCAACATATACATTACTAAAGAAAGCCTCATTTAAGTGTCTGTTGTTTCATCGGTGAACAAAATATTGAACAGTTTTTTGTTTTTAGTTAGCAAACTGATATCAAGCATATTTAAAAATATAAATAACATTTGCTAAATACATTTTTGGCTCACACAGAGATGTGTAGAAAATGAGCATATAAAAGCAACCCTTTGAAACATATCACCTATTTTCTTAAAAAGAAAAGTCGAAGTTAAATACTTTCCTATTGAATATACCATATTAACCAGCAGGAATGCAAAGTATTGTGTTCAAAGTTTTTTGCAGTAAAAAGAAAAAAAATAAATATCTCAATAAAATTTTATCTTAGAATAGCCTTCATTTCCTGGAAATATTCAAAGACAGAACAATGACCTCAGCAAACGTCTAAACAATAGATTTGGAGGAGCAAATCTGAATGTCTGCTTATGTGTCCTAAGTTTCAACTATGACTGTAACTAGGTATGTAGTTTAAATGATAAACAATTCATTCAGCAAAAAGTATTTCCCCCTTCCTTCCCCACCCCACCCTCAAGGCTTCACCTGTAACAGTGATTTCGAAACTTTTGTACTCACTGTTTTTCTGAAAATACTAATTTCTAATTATAAATATTAGATAGATTTTGCATTTAAGTTTACATTTTTAAATGGCTAAAATTTCAAAATTTAAATGTAAAAATTATGTTGGAATACTGCCCAAAACAATCATTGTCTGTCATTATTAAGGTGATATTTTTTGAAAAATTCTAAATTTGGTGTGAAAGGTAGCAATTCCTTTGCACACAGAACAGAATTTGTCTGACTCCATAGCAGTGAGGGCAGTATGTTACTTGGAAACTTAAATCCAAAGAAGAATTATGTTTTCTAGAAGATCAAACAAACAGAAAAAAATATGCTTTGTAAACAATGATCTCCAAATTGTTTCCAAAAGATAGCAATATCTCTCATGCTGAAAAATTGTTCTACTGTAAATCACAAGCTTCATTCTTTCAAATAGAAGATGACATTAGTGCTGTTCAGAGGGAGACTTAAGACACACATCATACACATATAAACAGACACACTACACATAACTTGCAAAGGTTAGAAATGTAGTTTTTATAACAGACAGTAATGTTTTAGTTTGTTATCTGAATTATAAATCACAACTGATTTGTAACATAATTATAGATAATACTAATTTTTATGACTACTGCCATTAGTGGCAAACATTTGTGTCCATTATTATATAATATTCTTATATATGTTACTTTTTGTATATTTGTCACAATTCTGTGATATAAATACTATTACCTATATTTATGGTCCGTTATCTGAGGCTTGAAGAAATTTAAGCAAAGTGATATGTGTTCAGTAAGTTGAGGCAACTCTGAGTTTAAACCAGGTTTATTTAATCATAGAACCTGTTACACTGCTAGTGTGACAATGATTAAAAATCTCTAAATGGGTGAATTTACAACTATATACAGTCTCTGCATCTAGATAACTACATATGCACACACAGTGAGAATATTGCAGGAGAAGCCAATGTCTTACACAGGTTTTCATTACTAAATTTATGACCCAGGCTAGGGATAAAATTCAGTTGGTAGAGTGCTTGCTTTGCATGCCTGAAGCTCTAGGCTCCATCCCCAACATCAGAAAACAAAAAACACATGGTCTATCTGTTAGAGGTTTGGCCACTTCCTTTAATATTCATTGCATTTCCTGAAAAAATCATCATCTATTTGGATAATATTCCCACATCATGTCAAATTTTAGAACTACAGGGATAGCACATACTTCAAAGGAAATCATAAATCCAAATGGGGCTGTGCATGCCTACAATCCCACCACTTTCAGAAGTAGAGATAAGAGCATCAGGAGTTCAGGGCCAGCCTCAGCTACCTAAATGAGTTTTAAAGTAACATGGATACATGAAAGCCTACCTCAAAAAAAAAAAAAAAAATCCACAAAGAATTCACTTACTCATTGGCAGTAGCTCTTCTTCGTTACCTGCTTCTTCGTTACATCCCAATCTGCCACATTTTTGCTGATCTGAGTTCTTAAGATTTTACTTCTAGTTCTACCACAAATACACATGATCACACTACTTAAAGGTGTTAGCTGAGCACACTGATTAAACTCAGTGTTACATCCTTCCTTACCTTAACACAACAGTGAGGGTGGAATGAAAAGCAGGGTGAATAGCAAACTAGTTACTGGCTTGGAAAAATTGGTAGTTCTCAAACAAACTCCAACATCTCAAATTTGGTCCCTCCTGTTTGCTTCTTACCTCAGGCTGACTGGAAATATTCAAAATGAGCGCCCAGAGCTCAGCTCTCAGTGCCGTGGGACTCCCTTGTCGGATGTACTGCTGGGCAGCGGCGCTATCCTGCTGCACCAGAACTGTCAAATGAACAGGATAACCCTGTTAGGATTCCCGCTGCCAGGAGCATCTCAGGATGGCCATGACCTCAGCCTCTGGAAGGGACACAACTGCATCTATCTTTTTCTCCCGTCACTCTCTGCGTTCTGGGGTGGCCCCACTACAGCCGAAAGGAGTCTTGATCTCCCTAGCTCCTCCTCGGCCTCCCAGAGCCTCAGTGCTTTCCCACAGCTCCACACATCTACAAGGACTCCTGAGCCTAGTGTCTGGCTTCTGTGACCAAGCAGAGCCTCATCCTCAGAACCCGTGATTTCCATAAACATGCTACCAAGTCATGGAGCTTCTGGTATTTGAAAGCGGCACAGTACAAAATATGAGACATACTATGGATCCAATCTTTATCCAACAGCATCATTTTTTTTTGTTTCCTCTTAAAGGGAAGAGGAAATTTTCTACTAAATGAAAAAGACATGATGAAAAGAAACAAAAAGGGCATAATTTTTAAAAGAACATTCTTTATCTGAATGTTTAATGAAAGAGGCCACGCCTACAAAAAAGGTCTTTGAAATTAAGATGACTTTGAAAAACTAAAGTACATGACAATAACTGTCACTGATGGTTCGGTCTGACACACAGCCTTCTTTGCACCTCAAAGACAGTAAAGGATTTATAGAAACAAGAAAAAGAGTGCCCAAAAGATGAGCAATTGTTCCCCAGGATATGGAGACCCGCTACGCTTATTAAGCCTTATCATTGTGAGCTGTCAGCGGGATTTAAGAGCTCCATCCTCTCCTGATGCAGGAGCATGCCCTCATTAGCGCTAATGAGAGGTGTGTGGGTGCATTAAACAGGAAGCTGCCTGCTTGATTGTGAGATGAAATTCTGCTCTTGAGTGCTCGCTCTCATGCATTTCCTGTTCAGGAACCAGCTGTGTGCTTAATTTACACTGACTAAGGCAGCTAACACGCTGCCTTTGCTTCTAAATCAAGATTCCTGTTAGATTGCCTGCTCGGGTAAATATTATGACTCTCCCGTGCTTCACTTTACAGAGAATAAATTTCAGCCGAGGCTCTGTCACGGGGACAGTCACCTAGAGCGGTCTCATTTTTATACAACTTAATAAACCTGATTGAACTTACCTTTTTGCCCAATACGTACATGCTCATTTTCAAAAAGTTCTAAAAATGTTAAAAGAAATAAGATTATTAGACACACACATGATCAACTACATTTAGAGTAAGAAGTATTTTTCCCCAGTGCTGATACTTTAATTATTTTTAAAGTTGGATAACTATCATAGAACACATTAGAACTTGTTTGTTTATGGCTGAATCTTGCTGCCCAGGCTGGTCGTAATCTCATTAAGTAGGCTGGGGTGGTCTCCAGCTCACAACCCTGCTGCCTCAGCCTTCTGAGTTAAAGGCACCACTACCACACACTACCACTCTGCTGAAAACTGGAATGTGCAACCTAAATGAAGAAAGCCTTCACCAACTGGGGAACAAAAATGGACATAGTAAGTTTTCTTTTGATAAACAGAATATATTCTTATACAAAAATATTTCTATACATTTAGAAAAATTCAAAGAAAGATTGTTTTTAACATCATTCCAGTGGCTGGAGAGATGGCTCAGAGCTGTTGCTGCTCACCGGAGAGGACCTGAGACCTGCTCACAGAACCTGTGTCGGCTGCTCCCAACCACCTACAGACTCCAGCTCCAAGGGAGTTAGCGCCTGCCTCTGGTTCTGTGGGCACCCTCACACACACAGTCACACAATTATACAGACACATACATACAGAAATGTGTGCACCCACACACTACATAAATAATGCAAAATAGTTGATAAATTAAAGAAAAATTCTTTGAATTAACAACTTTAACAACCTTGTTAGCACTTCATGTATCAAGTTCAATTCCACTCCCGCTGCGCATCAGGGTCTAACACAGCCTGTCTCTTGTATGTAGAAGCCCTGCCTCGTGAATAAGTTCTCGTTAAGAACTTCCACTGGAACAGCTGCTTTTTAAAGGTGTCAATCATAGTGCAAAAGACTCATTAACTATGACATATTAAACTCTGTTCACAGAAAAATGAAAGAATACCATCAAGGGAATTTGGACAAGGTAAGTCTCTAAAGTATCTGTAGTGTGTTTATGTGTGTGTGGCGGAGGGCTTATATCCAGAATTTATAAATTTATAAAGATAGTCTTACAGAGAAAGGCACTTGCCAGACACAAAAGGCCAAGAGTTTGAGAAGCTTCTTTATCAACAATCAATTGACCAGGAAACATAAAAAAACATAAAAAAGCTGCTTGACCACATTAGGCATCAAAAAAAAAATTAGAACCAATATAAAAAATGGAGCCACTGCAGTGGTAAAAACAAACAAGAAAAAACAACTGTTTTTGTTTGTTTGTTTGTTTGTTTGTTTTTAAGCAGGGTTTCTCTGTAGCTTTGGAACCTGTCCTGGAACTAACTCTTGTAGACCTGGTTGGCCTCGAACTTACAGAGATCCACCTGCCTCTGCCTCCCGAGTGCTGGGATTAAGGGCATGTGCCACCACCACCCGGCTAAGACTGGAAATTTTAAATGAAGAAAAGTATGGACCAAATGAACATCACATACAAAGCTGATGAGAGTGTAAGCTGGCATGGTGACTGTGGAAAACTAGCAGTGTCTACTGGCATGTGTGTGCACATGATTCACTCTCAGGGGTGTGCCCTGAGATGTACAACACATAAATGGCCTGCAAACAATATTCGCGGCAGAACAATTGATGATAACCAGATGGTGGGAATAATTCAAATGGCCATCAACATCAGACAAGCTAGACAGCAGACAGCAGTATTTACATCTGGTGGACCATAATACAAAATTTGAGAAATAATAATTTTTTATGTATCTTATATATAATAGTAAGCTGAAGAAACCAGATACAATTGGGTGCAGCTAATAATTCCAAACATGTCACCCTATGGTGACAGGATCACTGTTACTATGGGGATGGCAGAGACCTGTGCCTGGGGGGGGGTCCTAAGCTATTATAATATGCTGTTTCTCGATTGGGTTGCAAGATGTGTCCACTTTGTAAACCACTGGTCGACTTGTGTACTTGGAAGCTATCACTTGCCACTAATTAAATGTCACATGGGAAATACTAACCAGGAGGCACTTGTGTAGAATCATCTATACCCAGTTGTCCTGTCGTTAAGCCAAGTTCTACAAAGCATTCTTTCTGAAAAATAACATGAAAAATTAGCACACATCTCAGACTCTGGTGCGTGAGAAAAGGTTAACAAGTCAAAAAAATCCCATGTAAAATGAATTTCTGTTTCACTCAAATACTAAACTCTAAAAGAACAGTAACAGACTCTAGGCAGTGGGAGCAGAATGAGCCCAGCTGAGCACTGCACAGGTGGCACTGCATCATTTTCATGGGAAATGAACGTGACTACAAGAGTCATAGCATTTAGGGAAACAGTAGACACAATGAAAAAGGAAACTTGAACATACAGTATTTTTTCCAGTTCAGGGGCTTTGGTAATATTTTCTTTATCACTTTTTCCTTTCTAAATGTTTTTACTTTGAACACTTAGTAAATGAATGCTGGTACTGTCTTCTTCAAATTTTTTTCCTTATTTTTTCTTCTTTAGGTAACACACAAATCAGCATAGTAAGAGACGATACTGATCCTTCTGGGTAAAGGCATAGTGATGCTCCAACCTTTCCTAAAGCAAGCAAGCAAGCAAGCATATGCACACAGCCCCCTAAGCACACACGCACAAGTGTGCACACAGAGCCACTCACTCACTCATCACACTTAGCAATTCTATTTAACATTGTCCAAAATTACCAACATAAACTTCTGGGCTTTCTATCATTTGGCATCTTACTCTGATGATAAGAAGCCAAACCACAAATATCCAAAACAAGTTCATTTTGGAGCAAAACAACTATTAAGTGCTCAGCTAAAATAAGAATGAATTAGAATTATTCATAATAGCTTCCTTCACTTATCTAGCAATGTCCTAGGACAATAATCACATCTATATTTTGTAAGCATAGAAAACCCCATGTTAATCATATTATTTTATTCTACAAGTAATTAAATATTTCTATTAATAGTTGCTTCAGTGCTTTATAACTATTCTGACTGGTAAGTCATACTTCAGTCTCCTTCAAAATTGAGCTAATTTTAATTTTTCGAGATTTTATCTGATAGTGAGCTTCATTATTCTTCCATTTCAACCACTGTCTTCCATGTACTCTATGACTTTTCCTTCACTGAATCATTACTGTTAATGATTGTGCATCTCAGTTTAAAAATAGCATTTATCTGGATACTAACACACAAATCTATGGCCAATAAACACTTCAGTACTGGGTTCTGTAGTCAAGATGAAGCGTTTTACTCAGGACATGTGAGATCTGGGTGTCCATTTTCCATGTCATCGCTCTGGACTATTTCACTCAACATTAGCAAATAATCAGATTCCCATCAAAACTAACCATAGGGAGTGCGCCTCCTTAGAAACCTTCCTTACTGTTCCAGGCTGGCAAAAGGAATTCTCAATACAATATCTTTTCTCAGCCTTTATCTAGACTAAACTAGACCAGACTAGACTAGAGCTGTCCTTTTCCTCTCTGTCCATCCCTCTACTAGCCTGTAGCACTTTGAGGATGAGAACTGTCTCTTAGTACTGAGCTCCCCAGTACTTATCAGAGCACCTGGCCCAGCAAATACTGAGCACCAGTTTCTAGTCCCATCTGGCTGCTCCAATAATCTCTTTAGAGATAGTAGATCTCCATTTCTAAAAATTTCCTTGTAATGTGGAAGAGTACATAATCCAGGAATTCGGAGTCAGAATCATCCTGACCCAGTCAAAGGATGGCAGGGACTTGTCCTAATGACTACACATGAGGAGTAACCATACCCTGAAGGCTACCACACGGACCTGGCGGGCAAGACGCGCCCGACTGGTGCAATAGAGGTGTGACTGTTAGGCTGTAACTAACCACTCTCTGATGGAACTTGAGGACCTGATGCTACAATCCTTGTCAGAATCCATGACTGGGAGATCAGAGGCCACAGGGCAGAACCTGCAATTGTTATTTTCCCAACAAATACTATTCTAACCATAGAAAAGGAGAATTTCTAGAAATGTTAATGAAGAGAAAAAACGAGAAGGGAAAAGACTCTCCCGACACCCAAAACAGACCAACCCAAGACTGGAGCCGGAGCTCCAGGGCTGGAGCACTGGCATGCTTGCTGTTCTCTGCTTGTGTCACTGTATAAATCCAAACTATTTACGGGGCCAAGCCAGGGCCTGTTCTATAACACTCACTAGTGGTCCTTCTGTAAATTCACTCTCATTCTCTGTCCCTGTGCCCCTCTTTCTGGTCTCTGAACTCATTGCCTCATGCTCTCACACTGCAGCAGTTTAAATATCTGGGAATTTTAATCATCACTCCACTCTGGGAAAAAAGCAAGAAAAACGTGATTGGGAGCAGTGCAGCAAAGACTTCCCCAGAGTGTGGTGGGCCACTCTGTTAGACAACTCTTAGCCAGTCAATTGTGCTGTATGTAAGGGTTCTCCAAACCTCCACCAGCTTTTCTGGTGCCCTAGAGTAGGTGGAGGGTCGAAAAGCACAGCAGCAGGGATAAGAATAGCAGTCTCACTATTCCAGAAACTTCACTTGATCCCTGTGTGAATGACGTCTCTCTTCCTTCTGCACATCAGAGGTTTGACTCTGGAGTGGGCAGGAGCTCTGCGAGACAGTCCTCCACAGAGCCTCCACTCTCAGCCCTACGGGTTGCCTTGGCGAGTACCCATGGTATCTCTGACCCTTGAGCCTTCCCAAGGCTCTACAAAGAGAACCATTTGCTTCTTTTGTCAGTCAATATCTACTAAAGAAAGAAAAGGCATGCCACAGATGTCAAGAGGAAAAAACAGGAGTGGCAAACACAGAAAGCAACCATGGCCTCTAGGAGCGTGAACTAAACACAAGTAAGAATTAGAAAAGTGTCCTCCAATGCTCAAGACCATGATCAAGACCAGGGTGGGAAAAAAACTGCCAAGAAGAGCAGGCCGGAGCTGGGCCGTGGACAACATTATTATACATGGGACCAGAAGGGACACAACCTTCTCCTGCTGACACCTTTCAAGTGTCCCTCCAAAATCATCTTTCTAGTGACAAAATAACAGGAGGCCTGCCGGCAAACGGAGAATAGTCCAGATCTAGCCGGATGCAGCAGATCGCAGAATGGAAGACGTGGAGCCCACTGATGCAGACAGAGTGGTGCGCACGCACCTCTCACCCACACTTCCCGTCTGGTCTGACTTCTCTGGCTTTAGGTTATTTACCACGACCTCTGCATCTTTAAAGTTCAGAGTGTCACCACAGACGTGCCAACAGCGCTGCGTCCTTTATTGTTTTGGAATGAGTGGCAGAAGGAGCGATGACAACACAGCTCTGCCATCAGGAAATCTCAAAATTAATTTTAAAAACTAATGCCTCCCCAAAAAGATGGGTTTCTGAGCAAATGCAGTTTCTCGTAGTGTCTCACCATGTTCTGGGCTCCAGGAAAGTTGATTAAATTAAATAGCATGTGCTTTCTTAAATATCTTTCGATAAACCTTGTATTTGTTCCAATTTACAGTTACACATCAGACACCTGAGACCCAGCAAACTCCCTCATAAAAATTTGCTCTTTATTGAAGTAATGGGCAAAGCATTTATAGGTCAATGTAAGCTTGCTTTGGCTTACAGCAAACTTGCTCTTTCTATGTGCATGTTTCGAGCTAAAAGCTATCAAATTAGTAATTGGCTAATATGTGCATGACTTCTTACAACAGATATATGCGCATCAAAATATTTTTCTAGTGGTTAATAGAATATTAATTTATTCTTCAATGTCAATACTTACCAATTCAGGGATGTCTTTTACTTTCAGAGGAACTTGGATTAAACCCAAATGAGTCCTAAAACTAAGAGAATCACCATTTTCATAATTTGGGTTGCGGAGATTAATTAATACCTTTAAAAGTAAACAACAAGCCTGGTTAGTTTTTTGTATAGGTTTGCCCTTGCCAAACATGGTAATTCTTGTTGTAAAGCCATAGGGTAAAAAGCCACTTTGGGTCATGCACAGCCTTCAACTACACCCATCATATTTGCATATCTATCCCAGAGAACATACCTCAAGAAAGTCCTTAGGAGCATAAACAGGCCGAAAAAGGCTTAAATCTGGGATGAGTTAGAGTAAAACAAAATTTCAGTTAATACATGAGGTGAACAATAAGTATTAATGTCACTTTACTGTGTTCCTATAGAGGTGAAGCACATATGTATTAAGTATTGATTATTTGTTGTACAATGTGTGAAACACTGGGAACACAGAAATAAAAACACAGTACTTGACAACTTAAACAACATATTATAGAAAATCTTAAGAGTTTCATATAAAGATTCTGTATGAGAATTTTCAAAGTACTTAGAATACTAATAATGCATTCGCAGTGAATCCATCCGCTTGTGTCTAACTTCCCTGATTTCAGGTGCAACACTTCCTATCATAGGAAATGTTTGTCTGGCTCGCAGACTAGCTTGAGCAGAGGGGGCCACAAGATGTGGGCAGTCATGTATATATCTGTTCACGTAATTATAGGCATCTACAACACACAGTTGTTACTCATTATACAGTTATAAATCTGGCTATATATTAAATTTAAAGTGAGACAAAATACAATTTAAGACCATTTTAATTCTTGACATTTACTTTTCATTGGTCAATTTCCTTAGCATCTCACCAAATTAACCTTACAGAATTTCTACTTTCACTAAAAGCAAGTCTCTGGAAGCTATTGAATGAATTTTATTTGCCTGTTTTTTTTTAATTTCAGCATTTATTAATTGCACAAACGGATGGACTTCGTTATGACATTCCAGGCATGGGAATAGCATATTCTCATTACTTCAATCCCCTGTCACTATCCCTGTCCCCACTGTCCCAATCTCTCTCCAAGCCCTCCTTCCACTTTCATGTATGATCTCTATTGTCTTTTCTCTTTAACTATTATTGTTACATGCATACATACATATAAATCTATAAACACAACCAAGCAAGTCCATTTAGTGTTGCTGATAAGCATGTTTTTAGGGCAGAATACTTGATATTAGATAACTGCTCGGGGCATCCCTACGGAAGGCCAGTTTTCCCTGTCTCTTAGCAGATCTTAACCGTCTACAGTCCTTTCTTTAGGAGTAGGGTCTTCATGAGATTTTCCCCATCCATGTTGGCATAGCAACTAGTGTTGTCCTTGTTCAGGTCTTGTTTAGGCCACCCTGCCGTGTTCTTGTTATTTCATGGGTACAGCTTCCCTATCCTACATAGAAGATATAATCTCACAGTAGATCTCCTGGCCCTCTGTCTTTTACAATCTTTCCCCCAGTTGATAAATCTACTAACAAAACTGCTACACCTAAGGGAACATCATAGAAGAGGAGATAAAAAGATTATATACGTTTTTAATAAAAATGTTTTAAAATGATATTTGAAAAAAACAAAAAGTGATTTATTGTTGGCTAAACAACAGAAAACACAGCCTAAAGTTGGGAATTCTTAAGCTGCAAACTAGAAACAACAAATCAGACAGCGGGGAATTAGTGGAGCTGGAAGGTTGCTACACCTTCAAAGGAAGCAGTACATTATTTCAGTCAAAAGACAAATCCTGTAGGCAGTCCTTCACATACCTGGCTCGTCAGTCCCCATTTCATTCCATTTATTCAGGAGTTCTTTCTGTTCTCCAACTGGTCTCTAAAATTTTTTTAATTAGTTTCAAAATCAGTAACTTACTCAAAAGTTTAAAAAAGGTACCACAGCATATGAGAAACAAATTAAACATGGAAAACTTCTTTGGAATTACACTTAAATTAACTTTTAAAATTATTAAAACATATCTAGTCTCAATGGCTTAGTTAGGACTTGGTGCCAATGAGTCCAAGAAGAGAAGGCAAATGATCAGACTGGCCAGTAAACCTCACAAAGAACTAACTGCCTGCTCCTCCGCCACATCACATCCTATGGTTCTCAGCACATCAGCAAGCTCAGAAACGCATGGCAAGAAGACTGGCTGAGGAAATAAGACAGATTCAGTAGCATGGTCTTCTGATGTGCAAGACAGTATGGTATCCCACTACATATCCACACAGATTTTCATCTAAGTTTTTTCTATATACTACCCTGGTGAGTTCTCCTTGGCTCTCATCAAAAGTCTATGCTCCCCATCTACTCAGTAGTGGAGGATAACTGGCAGGCAGAGAAGGAGCTGAAGGGAAACTCATTCTCTCCTACTTGTCAGCATCCATAGCATCTAGAACAGACTCCCTGTGACTTTTCTCTTATTTCCTACCTCTCCCACCATTAAGTAAGGACTAGATCTAAATATAACCCCATGTCTGCAGAGATACAACAAATTATCTTCTACTAACACTGGACAATCTTATCCTATTGCCAATGACAGGATTGCAGTCATCAAGGCCTTCAAGGAATAGTGCTCCTGTGTTCACCAACTCAGAATGTACAAAGACTAGATATCATTAAACTCTTGAAGGTACACTCACTCCTTACAGCTGTGGTGGTTTGAATGAGATGGCCCCAAAGTCTCGGGCATTGGAATACTTGGTCTTCCCACTGGTGGCGCTATTTGTGGAGGTTAAGGGGTATGGCCTTACAGAACAAAGTATGTCACCGAGGGTACACACTTTGTGGGCCAAAGGTTTGCACCATTCCCACCCAGTTCGCTCTCTGATTCCTGCTTGCGCTCTGAGCTGCTGCTCCCATCACAATGCCTACCTGCGGCCTACCATGCGTCTCACTGTGATAGTGATGGACTCTACCCTTCTGGGCCAGTAAGCTCCAAGTAAACCCTTCTTCCTATCACTTGCCTTGGTCACACTGTTTTAGCACAAAATAGCAAAGTAACTAAGACAACAGACAAATGTCTAAGTAGGGCTATAGCATAGGTTCATTATAACAATCACTAGAGTTATACAAAGTAAGAATATGTCTAAGACATAACCAAACATTTGGCACTTACAGATTTTCATTAAAAAAAAGAAACCTGATACACCAGTAAATGAAGACTAACAAGGCTAACAATTATACAACTTTGTGACATTTTCCAGTACTTAACTTACAAAAGTATTTCAGCAGAAAATGTTAAAAATGTTCAATTTACCTTTCGTGCCAGTGGGATACTCAGCTCAGTGCACATACTATTTAAACTCTTCAAGATTCTTTTTTCCCAACTTCCCTGAAACAAAAGAAACAATCATTGTTTTTCATTAGCAATATCTACTCTAATAAGAAAAGATATTATTATGAGAGTCACAGACATGGCAAAGATAGTTGTCCTCATTAGTTCACTCAACAAACACTGATTACTTCTCGCTCTGCATCAGATACTGTCGATACTGCTATGACATTAACTCTGCTGTAGTTTGGATAGTCAGTGCTCTTGCGCCCATATATTAAAGTCTTGAACCCCACCCAGCCAAACACAGTGGAGAGAAAGGGGAACTTTTTCAGAACTAGAGCCTAGTGATTAGTCCTTTAAGGCATTGGGAGGTCTCCTGTTGGGCATTTGGTGGACTGATAGACATTCGCATGGCGTATTTTGAGTTTCCATAAGCAGATAAGAGCTCAGTGAAGTCCACCAGGAAGCATGGGCTCCAGTGCATACTGTCCAGGTCAAGGTCCAGTCTACCATGACTGCTCTGGTGAAGTGAGGCAGAGTGACCACTCATCAGTTGCCATGAGTACTAGACAAATGGCCACATGTGAAATCCTAAGTTGCTGTCACACAGACCTCTATGTGCTACAAGCACTAGTTTAAAAGAAAACTGATCCACTTACAAGCACTGCACTTGTTCTAGTTTCTCCATATACTGCTTTCTTCGAATACACCAAAGTAGTTCCCAAGGCTTCTTACACAGAAATAGGGTTTCACAATCATGGAAGTTTAAATAACACTGGATAAAATTTTAAATGTTTAAATTTCACTTAATCCAATGTTGTTCAAACTTACGTGATTCTAGAAGTCAGAAAAGCTGTAATTCTTAGTTCAACATAAACTAAGTTCCTGCTGCATAACAGTCAGGAGAGCAGACGCAATGGGTGCGAAGATGCCTCAAGTGTTCTTTGAGGGGCACACAGCTGGTCGGGAAAGTGTGCAGAGAAACAGCTGCTGCAGCTTATGCTAAGGGCTATAAAGCAGAGAGCTGTGAGGGAATGGAGGGGCAGATCCTTTCACTGGGGTACTGGACAACAGAAAAAAGATGCCACCTTAATTGAGCCTCACAAAATAGATGGCATCTTGATAACACAAAGTAAGCAGAAAGCTCTTGCCAGGACAGAAAAAAACAAAATGCCAACAGCGTTCATAATGCAGAAGGAAAGGACACAGTGACCTAGATGAGCGCACAGGACAATCACTCAGCAGCAGAGGATAGTGACATGGAAGGGGAAGCCGAGGACAGAGAGGGAAAGTTCTTAAATGCTAAGCTTTAGGTTAGGAGCTCTACTTCCTAGGCAACTGGGAATCACAGCCGTGCACTAAATGGCCTAGTTTATGAGACAATCACAACGTTCTCAACAAAGGTAGGGATAGACACTAAAGATGAGTGAGACACTAGTAGAATTGTAAGTCATCAAAGCATGGTGACGTTTTGGTACAGTCTAAATGGAAGGCAGATACTAAGTAAAAAGTATTAAATTACTAGCTGGCAGAAAATTAATCTATTAAAAGTTAAATAAATGATTTTGGACTAATTATTAAGAGAACTAAGTGACTTCCTGTCTCCGAAGTTGTCAACAGTTTGAGAGGATACAACAGACAGTAGAAGTACTATTACACCAAGGACTTGAACAGCAAACAAAAGAAGTCTAAAGGAGCAAAAGACTAGGAGGCACAGAAGGAAGGTGATAAAATGGTAGTCATGAGATCCAGACTAAGTGGGCTCCATGGAAACTGGAGAAAAGTACTCAACAGGACAAGGAACTGAACTGGATTTTCTATGGACAGGAAGTAAAGGAAGAAAGACTGACATTGATTAGGAGAATATTCTTATGGTGTGAATGTTCCTCTACAAGCTATGTATTAACTGGGAGTCAATAGTGGGAAAGTGGTTGGATCGTGAGGGTCTGCCCTAATGAATTAAACTGATGGATTTATAATAAAATTTCATTATTGGAAGATAGTGAAAGACAGGAGGTGGGTCCTAATGGGAGGAGTTAGGTCACTGGGAACACATTCTATAAAGATGTGTTTTCTCCTCTACCCCTTATCCTTATCTGTTTCTATCTGACGTAAGGTGAGAAAATCTGTTCCTCAACAGCCTTCTGCTACACCATGGCCCAGAGCACAGGAGCTAACTGATTATGCTCTGAAGCTTTTGGAGCTGTGAGCCACAAACTTTCCCCTCCTCTTCAGTTTTTCTCCCAGATATTTGTCACAGTGATGAAAAACCTAATAGAAAATTGGTACCAGGAATAGGGTTATTACTATGAGAAAATCTGACCATGTGGTTTATGGTAAGAACCAGGAGGAAAAAGAAACAGATCAGAAAGATTTACAAATATTGACATTTAGTCAGAAAAAAATTATGCAAAATTGGGATTAGGGCAGGTTTGTTTTCCGAAGAGATTCACACTATTAAAAAGAAGCCAGATATTTGAAATTGAGACAAGTCAGACATCTTAAAGGCATCCCAGGAACTGGCCAAAGCCCACCTATGGCAAACTCAAAATTACAAAAGGTACATTCATTTGAAAGGTTTTTTCTCATGAGAATAGAGCACCTGTGAGACAGGGTGCTGTTGGCACACAGTCACTGTGCCCAGCTGGCCAGGGAGACAGAGGTTGCTGCAGGTACAGTCCAGAGAGACCTGTTTATCACTCAAGTTGAGGCATCCTTGTTGTCATTCATGGGATACTGGCTTTGCAAGCATGCAAAATGTTAGCAATCCATTGTCATGGAGACATCCAGCCAGATTTCAAATAAGTATATGCCTGTTGGAGGAAGGTGCTTGTTTGTCCCCTGCTGCTTAGCCCCAAAATAATCACACAGAAACTGTATTAATTAAATCACTGCTTGACCCATTAGCTCTAGCTACTTAGAGGCTAATTCTTACATCTTAATTTAACCCATTTCCATTAATTTGTGTCATCATGGCGGGGAGCATGGTGGCATACAGACAGTGCGGGAGAAGTAGCTGAGAGTCCTACATCTTGTAGGCAACAGGAAGTTGACTGAGACACTGGGAAGCATGGTGAGCATAGGAAACCTCAAAGCCCGCCCCCACAGTGACACTTCCTCCAACAAGGCCACACCTCCTAATAGTAGCACTCCCTATGTGCTTATGGGGAGCAATTACAGTCAAACTACCACACCTGTCTACCTCTTCTTCCAGTCATGCTAGAACCTCTGCACTTTGTTTCTCAGGTCTAACATGCTAAAACTGAGAATTTTTCTATATTAATTAATTAAAAAATTCTGCCAGGCATGGTGATGTATATGTTTAATCCCAAAACTACATAGGCAAAATCAGATGGATCTCTGTGAGTTTGGGGTCAGTGAATTTCAAACTAGCCAGGGCTACATAGTAAGACCCTGCCTCAAGAAAAAAAAATGTTTTGCTTTTCAAAAACAAAAACAAACATATTCAAGCTCAGGCTGCTGCCAAGAAACAATTTGGGTCTACTCTCCTACCACAGCTGGGGTCTGTGACTATGTTCATTTACAGTCCATGTTGCCACCAAAGGCCACACAGGTGCTGGGCTCTGTGGCCATGTTGGTGTCCGAGGGCCATGCTGCCACCAGGGCCATGACAATCTGATTGGCCTGCATGGCCAACTGGGGCCATGAGGACCTCTGGACATGAGGTGCTGTAGAGGGCCATGCTGGACCAGTCCTGCCCCTCACTGGCCCTGGGATAGCTGGCCCTGCCCCTGGCTAAATGCTGTAGCAGGAAAGCTAGCCCTCCCTCATGAAAGAGCTGCCTCCTCCCCCTATACTTACTCCTCCCGCCGCCAAACTTGGGAGAGATGGCCCCACTCCTCATCACAGGCATAGAAGAACTGGCCCCATGTCATGGGCCTAGGAAAGCTGGCTCTACCCCTTACCTGAGGGGATGGTTCCAGTACCCTGGACTGACAAGCACAGCTACCACCCAGGTCCACATTCTGGGCCTTGGGTTGGCCTACCCTAACATCTATGACCTGCGGGAGCTGGTAAGGGACTTGTCCTGCAGAATGACAGCCACAGAATCCCCAAGACTCAGGGCAACAGCAGAATATCTAAAAGAAGTTTTGGTGAGGGTCTAGTGATAGTGTGCCAGAGGCCTTGAACCAGACCAATGACTCATATTTGAAATGAACATTTTGTTGGTGAGGCTGATTGAACAAAAGGGTATACTACGTGACACACCACAGCACCCAATGCCACTAAGATGAATGAAGAGGTATTGGAAAGACAGAGGAGGGAGGTGGGGTTTTTGTTTGTTTTGTTCTTAATTAATTTTTAGAGGAGTTTTCTTTGAGGGGATGTGGATATAGAAACACTAGGAGGTAAGCAGAATTGGGGTTTGAGACATGAAATTACCAAAGAACCTATGGGAGTGCAAGCTGGTACAGCCCCTTTGGACCTCAACCTTCCTCAAGACCCAGTAATACCATTTTTGGGTATCCAAAGGATGCTCAATTGTGCTACAAGGACATGTGCTCAACTATGTTCACAACAGCATTGTTTGTCATAACCAGAACCTGGAAACAACCAAATGCCCCTTGACCAAAGAATGGATAAGGAAAATGTGGTACATTTACACAATGGAGTACTACACAGCAGAAAAATATAACGGCATCTTGAATTTTGCAGGAAAATGGATGGAGCTAGAAAACATCATATTGAGTGAGGTAACCCAGACCCAGAAAGACAATTATCATATGTGCTCACTCATAAGTGGTTTTTAAACATAAAGCAAAGAAAAGCAGCCTACAAATTACAATCCCAGAGAACCTAGACAACAATGCGGACCTTAAGAGAGACATACATGGATCTAATCTACATGGGAAGTAGAAAAAGACAAGATCTTCTAAGTAAATTGGAAGCATGGGGACCTTGGGAGAGGGTTGAAGGAGAGGGGAGAAGTAGTTGAAGTGGTGCGGGATAATTGTCTGGATTCTGTCAATCACATTTTAAATAAATGCTGATTGGCCAGGCAGGAAGTATAGGCAGATCAACCAGATAGGAAGTAGAGGCAGGGTGATGAGAACAGGAGTATTCTGAGAAGAAAGAAGCTTCTTTTGGCAGTCCTTCCCAGACCACAGAAGAAGCAGGATGTGACCTACCCCACTGAAAAAGGTACTGAGCCATGTGGCTAACATAGATAAGAATAATGGGCTAATATAAGTTACTAGAGCTAATAAGAAGCCTGAGCTAATGGGCCAATCAGTTTATATCTAATGCAGACTCTCTGTGTTATTTCTTTGGGACTTGCCAGCTGTGGGAACTGGGCAGGACAGAAACCCCAAAAAGCCTGGCCCTCATGTTACAGGGAGAGGCAGGGATGGGAACAGAGAAAAATGTAGAGCTCAATAAAAATCAATTATATATATAAAATTATGCTATTAAAAATATTTAGACGCCCACAAAAAGGCAGGAAGAAGTCTTAAGAATCCGCTGCCCCAATTCCTTTAACCTGTGGTGCCTAGCCTCCCGCCTTTTTCATTATAAAAAAAGAGATGGGAATGTAATAATCTGTCTCTTTAAGAGACAAGCCACGCCCACTCCTTCCCCCATCTACTGAGGCAAGCTGATCTTCAGCTTCCAGCCTAAGTTCTCTCCTTTTCATCCTTCTTTTGGAGAGGCAGCTCTCTCTCTCTCTCTCTATA